TAAGGCTTTCAATTCGCAATTCAAAGTTAAAACACAAACAGATCATTCAATGACAAACAAATAGAAATGCAATTAAGCAACATGCTAATGGAATCAAGCTAGGATTTCGTCTTAATCGATTATTTATCATGCTCAATCACAGTTTAGCACTAATCAGAGGTGAGGGTTGTCACAGCTGTGGAATAGACACACACAGCAGTTTGATAGTATTTATAATTCTATTCTTCATATGTAAATATTGGTCTTTTTGGTCAATAAATTTTGTTATAAAAATAGAAACTCCAATAATTATTTTGATACCTTCACTTAAATATCGTTTTTCTGCTCACGTTTAGTAATTTGTTTAAGAATTGGCTGGAAGTAACTTCAATTACTGGTTATCACGATACTTAACCCTTGAGTACGGAGAGTAGGTCGTGACAAAAGGTTTTATAGTAGGAGAGATAAAGAAAGATACGGTTCCACGTACATTTGATATTGTTTTTATTTATAGTGTTTTTCAAATTTTAAAGAAAAAAAATAATGTTAGAACTCTCAGGTTTTCATTTTGATTTTATTTTTATATAAAATAGTTTTATTTTTGTATTTTTTTTCTAAAATGATAACCAAGAGAAATTGATTGAATTGTTAACTTGTTTAACTACTAGAGTCTTTATTATGGTAGATTCCATCTTCACCGAACTGGGTAGTTATAGGCAAAATTATTTTTTGATTATACTTAATATTTACATTCACTTCCAAATATTGAAGAAATTTTGTTAAAAAGTCTCACTCATAATTATTTCTGTCATATTTTCAAAGTGGATCTTATTTGAAATTTTAAAATTTTATCCTTGCCACATCTACTAATAAAAAAAGCATAAAATTTATCAATTTGTAAAACATTTTTCATGAAGAATTGACAAAATTGCAAAGGTGCACATAACTTCAATGCAATTAGTATTTGTTGGCTACTTAGAATTGGAAATGTTGTAGCTCTTGCACATTGTACTTTGTGTGTAACAGACAAAAATATGTATTAATTGCATTGTTGATTTGGGAAAAAAATAATGGATAAGGATAAAGAGTGCCTTACGAGTCATGCAAGTGGAGTGGGTTCATCTCTATGAGATCATGGTCCAACTATAAGACGATGGATAGGATAAAGAGTCCACGAATCAGGACTCATCTCTATGAGATCATGGTCCAACTATAATGTCCCTTATCACTTGTAGAGAGAGGGTTTGGGGGAGAGAGAGGTGAGGGTTGGGCAGAGTAGGAATCGTGTCGTGTTAGTCATGTTTGTATTGTGTTATTTTAAGTTTGTATCAAAATTTCAACATTAATTTAATTAATTGTGTCACGTATCTTGATGCTTATACATATATCAATATATGATAAGAACGACACAAATGACACAATGTTGACCATATTTTTTTTTAGCACTATGTTGATCATATTTAAAGGTAACAAAACAAATAAAAAATAAGAATCGACAAATAGTACGTACATTTCCATGTATGTGTTAAGAGGACACATATCATGTTTAGTGCAGTTAACAAGACTGTTTATAACTTTTTAATTTTAAAAATATGTATAAGATTATTTAATTCTACTTACAACTTACGAGACAAATTTAGTTTAAATAAGTTCAAAAAAAAAATTTTGAAAAAACAAGGAAAATACGCTTTTAATTTCATTTTTTAATTATTAAACTTTTAATTTATAAGATATTATACCAAACAAGTCCATAATATTATTAGATATACCTAAGTTGGTGCTTATACAACAATTAAATTAATTGGATTAATCGTGTCAAATTCTTGCCATACAAATTTGACATTAAATTTGAGCAGTTTATTTTTTATATTGTCGAGCTCATTTTACTTTAGAATTCGTTTTGAAAACTAAATCAACCTATTTGGTTCCACTTTTCGAAATTTATTTTTTTGAAAATTTTAGAATTTTTGTTTGGTTAAGTCCAAAAATCAAAAAAAGTGTTCAGATTTTTTTTTTTTTTTGGATGGATACTTGCAAACAAAGATGTAATTTGATGTGGCTTATTCTTTTTTATTTTTTTTTTACTTTTTGATGTTACTTGTTCTCTTTTGTTTTGCTTTGTTTTTTTTGGTATTGCTAAATGGTTCCAGCAAGTTGACCGAAAATCCAATGTAGCAAAATTTTGAATTTTACGTTGATACACTATTTAATGTGGAGGGATTTTAAATTTAAAAACAAAACAAAATTCAAAAATATTTTTGTATTTGAAATTATAAAAGCTTGTAAGCCTTCATTTGGCATAAGCAAAAATGGGTTTTTTTGGCTAAAATAGTCACAAAAAGACAAAATAGATTTTTTAGCCCAATAAAATAAAATGTCACATCCAAACCATAATTATTTCATTTTTTTCTCACAAAAATCAAAAAAGTCAAAAAACTTATCTCAAACGAATCTTTTTTGCTCCAAGCTAAAATAGCAAAAAAATCAAAAAGCTAACCCACATTGGTTACTTTAATTTTTTTTATGCCAATTTGTGATTAAATTACGTATTTTATGGTTGATATCATGAAATTTTATGATAAAGTTATAAATTTAATGGTAGGGTATACACCCATAAAAGGATTCATATCAAATTATTTTTTGATACATATACAGTATATATATATATATACATAAAACAGATATAGTAGCACTTTTAAGGGAAATTTGGCTATAAACCCCCTTTACCTTACTTTCATTGTTAAAAGGATTAAGAAAAAAATTAAATTTTCTAAACTCCTTCATAATTATAAAATCTTGCATAAAGGACAAAATTTATTATTTAAATATTTTTTCAGACTATTATACCCTCAACTAAATCTTCCCACCTTCTCCACCCACTCTCTCTCCACCTTCTTGGTCTCTATGACTCTGGCCAGCCAAAATCGAGTTCATCTAAGCCTAAGATTCATTCAATCTTTGACCTAGAACACTGACCTGGTTCAAGCAATCACAATCTGACCTGTGTATTTGAATTGAAGCTTAGTTTGAAGCTTTAATCTAATTTGCGTCTGTTAAGAAACCAAGGACTTCATCGCAAAATTGATCTGATTCGACAATCAACCCGAATTCAAGCTTCTGGAACTCGCGATTACGAACTGGAGTCCTTCGCGATCTGACCTTGGGTTCTCTCTTGTGACTCGTTGTTCTTTGAGTCAACTTCGATGAGAACTTTGGATTTCAAGTTCTAATTGGAATTGCGATTTCAGTTTGCATCTGGCTTAAAGGTTGCAAACTCTAAGTTCGAACGACTTACAGATCGACTTCGCTAACTGAATCGCAATCAGACTTGTGTTTGCTATCTTGAAGCGAAATTAGACTCAATTTGAAACTTCTATTGCAATTTGTTGTTAATTAATTTGTTTTGTTTTTGTTTGTTTGTTTGTTTATTTTTTATTTATTTTTGTTGTTTTGTATCTAATTTCATTTGACAGAACTAGAGTAAAATTTTACTCTGATTCTATTGCTCTGTTTTTTTCATTTGACATAACCAGAGTAAAATTTTACTTTTGTGTAGAGTCTAACATTTTACTCATTTTTCAAAGTAAAATTTTACTTTTATACAGAGTAAAATTTTACTTTTAGTTTCAGAGTGTAACATTTTACTCTTATTCAGAGTAAAATTTTACTTTTATACAGAGTAAAATTTTACTTTTAGTTTCAGAATATAAAATTATACTTTTATACAGAGTAAAATTTTACTTTCATACAGAGTAAAATTTTACTTTTAGTTTCAGAATGTAAAATTTTACTTTTATATAGAGTAAAATTTCTCTGAAATATATAGTGAAGATGACTTAATAGGAGAGCTGATAGATATGAGGGTAATATAGTAAAAAAAATAAGTTTTAAAATATTAGGGGGTTTTGAAAATACTTATATAATTCTTGTCCTTTTGAAAGACAAATTAGATAGTGAGGGGGCTATCACCAAATCCCCTCACTTTTAATGTGATTATAATTTTTTTTTGAATTTATTATTGAATATATCATTTAGACTACCCTCCCCCCCTCTCTCTCTCTCTCTCTCTCTCTCTCTCTCTATAGAAAAATTTAAATTTCTTTGCAATAGTCAAATTTTAAAAAACCAAACACATATCTATTTTCAAATTACTTTATTAAAAAATAACTCAAAAAATTATAACCAAACATAAATAAACCTTACTCTCTCTTTTTTTTTTTCTTCTCTCTTCTTTTAATGTTTTATTAACATGTCTTGTCTATTTTATGCTGCAAATATGTGCATTCCACTGAGACCAGTCACCAATGGGCTACAACCAAAAAAAAAAAAAAAAAGCATGACTCCTTGAATCAGATGATTCCACTTGGTCAGTTGCATTGACATCCTATCAAACCATACATGAGTGACTATTTAGTAGTGGTGAAACATTCCTTTATACTATTTATTATTTGATATTTATTGATTTATTTTTCAAAAACTAGAACGCTAAAATCTATTATTTTAATCCATTAATATCAAATTAGATTAACACATGACATTGTCTCATCAGAAAGAAGAAAGGAAAAAAACCTCAAGGGACATAACCCAAACTTATCAGAAAAAACAGAAGACACATACATCTTTGATATGAATGACATGACACATTGGCCTATTTTGGGAACAATGGTAAAAAGCCAGCTTTTTGGCTTTTTGACTTTTTTAGCCAAAAAAGCCAGCTTTTTTACCCAAAACAACCCAGCTTTTTGCCAAAAAAGTCACCAAAAAAGTTAAAAAGCCAAAAAGTCAGTTTTTTACCAACTTCCCAAAACACCCCATTGTAATGCAAAAAATGAAAGAAACTTTCCCAAGAAATATCTTGAAAATCAGTACATAACCTAAACTTATCAGAATAAACAGAAGACACAACACATCTTTGAAATGACTGACATAACACATCGTAATACTCCACAAAAAATGAAAGAAATTTTTCCAAGAAATTCAAGAAACATCTTGAAAATCAGTACAATATAGCATGATTCACAGTCAAGAAAAGGCCAGGAAGCAACTGGGACAGATAATTTTATTCTTTGGAAAGTGATACAAAGTACAGAAAATCCTGAAACTTCCATAGATTTTCTTCATTTTCTCTGCAACTTAAAACATGCTTTCACCGTTGGAAGGAAAATCTACAAACCAGAAATTCCATGAACAGCCTAAAACAGGAAATATTTCTGTCTGCTAACAATGCGGAAACGTAACATGATTGACATATACAAATGAATAAGAGGAATCAAGGACCCCGAGCAGGAGCGAAGCAAAAACAGCCAGCACCCTGGCCTTCGGGTATCATTCCTCCTCCTTTGCTTGTGTCAATTGCTTCTAATGACTTCACAACCTCGTTCATGTCAGGGCGCTTTTCTGGGTTCGCATCCCAGCATTTCTTCATGATGTTGGCCAGAGAATTTGGGCAACATCTGGGGATTTCTGGCCTCAAATTCTGACAATATAATCGAGCAATATTAACTCCCACAGAATATATGGACATAAAAATTTTGGAACATAAAATAAACTCTTAACACTACCAATAGAAATGCAAACATAAACACTTCGTCTGTTTTGACAGAAAACATTTATGAAATTTTTTTTCTAAAATATGTTTTCCATAGAAAACGTTTTCCTATGTTCAGTTGCAACTTTGAAACACATGTACTATTGGTTGTAGCAGTGATGGGGAGGTAGTGATAGTAGTAATAGTGGTGGAGGTGGAGGTGGAGGTGGTGACCAAAGTTGTTAAAGGCGAATACATAATTCAGGACGTTTACCCGTCACGAGGTATAAGACATGAGGCGTCGAGGCATAAGCATTTTGAATTTTAAATTTTAAAATTAAGTAAATAGATTAAATATTTTAAAATAGTGAAAAAAATAACTAAAAAGGTAAAAAAATACTGTCCTTAAAACATCGAACATTTCATTATAAAGAATGATACTTGCCGTTATTGAGAATGAAATTGACATTCTTAACTTTAATGATTAAACTTCTCACTTAACTATGCATTTTTTTTGGATTGGTTATTACTTAATTTTTTCTATAAAATCTAGTTGCAAAAAGGTTCTTTTTTTTATTTTTTACATTTTTATATTTAACCCATCTACTTGACTAAGTTTAACAAGAGCCTAAGGCAACGTCTTCATATGTGTACTTCTTAGAGATGCAACTTGGACGGGCTCCCAAGCAACCCGAGCCTAGCCCAAATTTTTTTAGGGTTTGGACAATATATTTTTAAATTCGATACGAGTTTAGGCAAAAATTTAAAAACTCGAATTAAATTTGGACAGGCTTGGGTAAAGACATCAAACAACCCGAATAATCCGAAACCCAAATTATACATATAAAGATATATATAAATATTAAATATACATATAAATTATTAGACATTACATGATATTAAAGTAATTTATACTATTAAATCATATTGAATATTATTATATATACAAATAACACAAAATCTTACTTTTTTTATTCTTACTCATAAATTGTAAAGATTACTATAACTGCATCTCTCTTACATTATATAAATTACTTATTTTTATATTATTAATGATTTTCTTTAAAAAAATGTAAATAGAGTCAAATTTTAACAATTTAATAATATAGTTGCCCAAAAAATAAATAAATAAATAAATAAAATTTATTTACAATTCGGGCAATTCAGGTTTAACTCGGGTCAAGTTTGTGCAAACAATCTCGGATTACAATTCGGGCCTGGACAAGTCTCAGCACAACTTGGACTGGGTTTGGATAACCTCCCAATCCGACCGAACCCGCTCGAGTTGCACCTCTAGTACTTCTCATACGCTTAAGCACAAAAGGTGCACGAGGCGCCTAAGGCAAATGCCTCAAATTGTGATGTGCAAGCCTTCGGAAAGTATAGTCTAAAAATCAAAGCCTTAATGCGGTTTACCTTAGCCTCGAGGCCTCAGTAAAGCCTTCTAAAACTTTGGTGGTGACTATAGTGGTAGTGTGGTTGCATTGATAAGTTTCACCTTTCAAAAATGAAATATTTTTCTGTTCCAGTAAGCTTATTTTCCAATGACCATGAAAAACGTTTTCCAATGAATTTCATTTTCCATCATAACCAAACACCAAAAAATACTAAAAAAATGTTTTCCACCAAAACAAAGGGAGCGAAAAAGTACTAGAACAAATATTGTTTCTTAAAGTTGGAATATTTGAAATTTCAATAAATCAATTAATAGCTTATCGGTTGAACTGACCTGTCGAACAACAGCAGATGAAACTTCAGCAAAGCTAAGATCTGGGTATGGCAGATCACAACAATAAATTTCCCATAAGCATACACCAAAGCTATAGACATCACATTTTCTATTATACGGCTTGCCATCAAGAACCTACAAAAATGTAGATCATCAATTTTTCCTTCAGATATGCGACAGACAGAGAACCAAACAAATCACATCTTCACTATGGAGTTCCTTTAAATAACAATAATAATAAAAGAACTTGTAAAATCTGGTTTAGATTTACTTGGTCCCAGACAGAGACACAAATAAATCACCTCTTCAATATTGAATTACTTTTAAATAATAATAAATAAATAAAAAGAACTTGTAAAATCTGGTTTGGATTTACTTGGTGTCCGGCTGCCTAAGACCATTTACATGAAAAATAATCAGAACATTCATCTGTTACTTTTGATGGGCAGTTCTTTTTAAATTGTTATTTGAAAAATATGACCGATGTTTTCACCCTACAACTACTTTTTCCAGAATGTGTAAATACCTCTGGTGCCATGTACCCAAGGGTTCCAGTTTCACCGGTCATGTCCTGAGGATTCATGGCTTCAACACGAGCAACACCAAAATCAGCAATTTTTAGACTTTTAGTGGAATCTAGCAACATATTCTCAGCTTTGACATCACGATGTACAATTTTCTGTGAATGCAGATAGCTCAATCTGCACAAAATAACTCAGAAAATAATGTTCTCCATCAAGAAAAATTACACTTACACAGTTTTAACTTCAGAATGACAGAAAGTGAAATTCTCACCCTCTAGAGAGGTCTAAAGCAAGCTGAATCACTATTTTAAAGGCAAGTTTCTTTTTTCGGTTCAAATAAAGGTATTTTTTCAATGTCCCACCCGGAAGGTACTCCACAACCACACAACAAGCTTTTGATGGAAGAGAACTATCACTAGCACCGTTTTTTGAAGGAATTTTAAGATTTGATGTCCCCATTGAAGCACCAACAAACTGTAAGGAAGCATATAGAAAGTTGTCATTATAACAATTATCACAGGTCATAAACCTTGAAAATTATTTAAAGAGGTTAAAGTATAGTTTGTACTTTAGTAACATTTGGATGGTCAAGCTTCTGCCAAACAGCAACCTCTTGCCGAAATGATGCCCGCAAAGCAGCAGTTTCTGCAGTTGTGGCCATGCCATTCTCTCCCCAGTCCAACAGCTTCACTATATAATAGAAAAGATGACACTGAAGTACAGAATTCTAAAACAAACGCTAATATGAAGTAGAATAGACAAACAATTTGAGGGCTTGTTTCGCCCAATCAAATGATAATAAGATTCACTCTAGTTAGCAGCCAATTTCTCTAAAAATTACTAACGGCTAGACTTACTAGATGTTAATATGTATGAAGTAACTAGATAACTTCATGCTATGAGTGACTCTTTGAAACACTTTTCTGAATTTCCAAATGGTTCCTGAATTCTATGCAGCTTTCTCATTGAGCACACAACCATTCCAAACACCTAGTATTGCAAAATTTTCAATTTTATGAATTATTAGCCATGTTTCACTTACTGTAATTATTCCAAAACGAACAGATGTATCCCTTCCACTGGCATCCTATGCCCTTAAAATACCATTCAAAATTCATTTAAGAAAACCCTTTTAATACTGTCCTACATTAGACCGGGAAGAATCACCTCATTTCAATTCATAATTGTTTTCATTATGAGAAAGCTTACCCTATATCAAAAATGATGATAACAAAAACAACAATAATAACCTTTAGTTCAGAAGTAAGCAACTAAAACACCCAATGCTTCTTTAACTTCAATGAAAACTCAAGTCAAAGAATATAGCTAATGATACATTGATGACATTATTGGTACACTTGTAGAAATTCAACCCTCCTACACATAACCACGTATACAATTAAATTTCCTTCATCATCCAATTTACTCCGAAGTGGAGGGAGACCATCTACACTTTTAAAATGTTTGATTGCAAATGCCATCACTGTCTTTCATGAATCTAGCATAACTGATTCACATCTTTACATGAAACAAACAAAAAAGATCCAAACCCGTAATTCTCTGGTTTATTGAAATCAAACATTATTTCCTTATGTTTTACCAAAATTGAGAAACGTGCAAGAACTAGTAATATTTGTAAACGACATTAAAAGATTGAGGCTAAAAGCAAACAGGAAAAGGAGCAATTAAGCCAAAATCATTGTAGCATTATGGCAAATTGCTAGCTTGGCATCTTAAAAGGGAGTGGTGAGCTTACAGGTTCAACTTATATCCTTTATCAATCAGAGAAAAAGAAGGAATTATCCCGGGAAACAGCAAAGTAAGTGCTTAAAAACAATGTACATACAATACTTAAGAAATTTTATGAATTTCCAAATTCCAACAGTTATTCAATTTCCCATTGCCTGGTAGTAACTGTGCATTCAACTCTGTTTTAATTTAGATTAATCAATTCTTTGTTCAAAGAGAAACAACTGAATTTAAAGTAAATGTGTAGATTTTTTAGATATTTCAATTTTTATAACCAAACACATCTATGTTTCTACCTTGTAAATGGACTAATTCTAACCAGCAAATTTCAAATTTCGTCAATAACCAAACAGGCTGCCAATTAGAGGCAGTAGTTCATAAAATTCAATTCTACTAACTGTTTTCTTTTTTTCCTTTATTTTTTTTCTCTCTTTTTTACTACTTAAAAATGCATATGTTTTACTTTCAAGCCTTTTCTTATGTTGATTCATTTCAGAAAGAAGTTGAAAGGAACCTGATAGAGCAAAATCTAGAATAAATAATTAAACTGACAACTAAAGATGACAACACAAGAGAACCAGAGCTAGAAACAGGAAGAGCAGTGAAAAGTAAATAATTTCATGCAGCTAATGCTAGTTGACATAAAAATGAAGCAAAGACTAGGTTCATTCACAACTTACAACCAAAAAAAAAATGGTTCTAATGAAATGAAACAGGCTTTAGAAATCCATTTTCCCAGTAATCAAACAGATCATCAAGCAAAAAAATTATTGTTAGAAAGAAGAAAGAGGGTGTTTACCTGCAACATCTTGGCCATCATAAGTACCACGATATACGGTACCATAGGTGCCCCTAGCTACTAAGTATCTTAAATCCAAGTGAGATGGATCAATCTCCCACTGTTCTTTTGGTTTTTGTCCCTCTACGTTCTTTGACCAAACCCGGTTCATGTGCTTCTCCAATTGAACATCCAAGCTTTTCAAATCAATTTTGTCAGCTCGGAAAAACATATCATTCCTACTAATACTTCCAGTACCCTGCACCGGCATATTTTTTTCACTAAGACTTCCCGCACCCTTCAATTTTGAGTTTGACCCCAAACTCCCCAATTCATAGCTCGACTTTACCGTTTTTGGAACCACTCGCACTTCCTCATCCTGTTTTACCTCCATTTTGAACAACCCCAATTGAAGAAACAACAATCCAAAACACCACAAAACCTAATTTCAGAGAACACCTCTTCTCTGATAACAAATATCAATCAACACAATCACGCGAATTCAACCCAATAAACTGAAATTTCTGTGATCCTAGAAAGATTTGACAAGAAATGCAAAACAATATCAAGTGATTTGATGAAAGAAAATCAAAAACTTTTATGTGAATCAACCCCCAAAAAAAGTCAGATAGTTGAATCAACAAAATATGCAACCTCTAGATGAAACTTACAATGACACTGCCAAACTAAGTTTCTTCAGATCAAACCTACATCAAACAAAATAGAAAACAAACTATCCAATACGAGCCAAACACACCAATTTCCAAAATTTGTCCACTATTGACCTGAGAACCCTCAATAACCAATTAGAAAATCTAAAGACTTTTCAAACCCAATTGACAAACAAAATATATTAAAAAAAAACAAAAAACAAAAAACGTTTCGCTACTCAAAACCCTAACCTTTGATCACCAACCATTTCTTGATGTGCAAATAAAAAATCCCCAAAAAAATTGAGAAAGTAAACCCCGCGAAAACGACCCAATCCCCAACATTTACAAAGGGGAATACCGACGACCCACCAACAAATTATTCTAAATAAAATAATGACTAAACAAGAGAAGCCTACGCCGAAAAAGAAAAATTGAAAAGTTAACCCAGAAAAGAAAATTCAAAACCCACAAAAACCCAAAAAAGAAAAAGAACACAGAAACAGAAAAAAGGAGAAAAGAGAAGCGAAAAAGTTGACCGAACCCAATATTGCATCAGAACCCACAATACAACTCTTTTGGGATTCAACAAAAAAAAAAATGTTAATCAACGCGCTTGAAGGGTAGGACCATGAAGATACGAAAGAGGCATTGAGGGTTCACAACAACAATCAACGAAGGAAGAAGAGGAGAGAGAGAGAGAGAAAAGCGCGGCGATTTGGCTAAAAATTCCAATAAAGGCAAGGAAAGGCAGTCAACTGCAGGCTGCAGCAGCCTGAAAAGTACATGGGGCCGTACAGTACTCGTGCGAATTGACCAAAATGGCCTTTATTTGACTTTAATGCCCCTGTAGTATGTCTTCTAACCAAGACAAAAGTTTGGTCAAAGAACGAAGCGCATTATACCGGTAGGAAAGTGATTATAACTTATAATTTAACAGTTTATACTTTATAATTATCAATATAAGTTAATTTTTGTAGGATAATCTTCACTGTATTTAAATAAATTAAATTCTGTTATATACTAAACAACAATCAGAATATAAAGAAATAAAGGAAATGAGAGAATATGTTTGATTACAAAAATTAAACTCAAAATAAAAAATAAATAAATAAAAACTAATTTTATTTTTTTTACAAAATCAAAAATTAAAATCTGATTTAAATAAATAACAATAACACTGAAAATAAATTAAATAACTTACTTGATTTAATTTGTTCGAATTATAATCTGATCAAATCCAGTGTTTAACACTGTGTCCTTAAGACAGATTCGTCCTCTCCACGGTACTTTCAGAATTTAGACGTCTATCTTCTAATATGAAATGATCTACTATAAACAATAGCAGCACTACAAATTGTTTACCTTACGAACACACTAAGTGTTTACACTTCTTTCAGAAATTAAATACAGCAAAATGCAGAGATTTATAGCAGAAGATAGAGTACGAAAATTTTGAGTAAAATCCAAATGGGAGGCTAGTCTATTTATAGATGTAAAGGTGGCTGCTGGTTTTGAATTGAACAGATATGAAACCTATTGGTTTTGAATTCAAACAGATTTGAATCTGTTGGGTTCCTAATTTAAACAGATACAAAAACGGGAAGGGCCCTGTTTGGATGTACAGTAAAACCAAACCAGTTTATTTCCGGTTTAATTTAAATTCTGAATTTTATTTTATACAAAATAAAATTAAATTCAAATATTTTTGGCCCAAAAATATTAGTATTGAGTCGAACAAGCCTAACCCAACCTCACACCACGCACCCGCGCTCAAGCCCAGGCCCAGCCCGCCCGACCGGACGGACGGCGACGGCGCAGCGCGGAGCGCGTGTGTGGTGATTTTTGGATCCAATGGGTCTAGCCCATTTTGCCGATAACTTCTCCCCTCTAAAACACTTGGGTACCCCTTGGGGCACACCCCAAGTACCAAACCCAAGCCCTATAAACGAATTCAAAACTGCTCACCAAATCAATGTGGGACAAGCTATTTTATAACCTTAAGAAATTTCCACCAAAACTCCATTTCCATGGAGCACACTTTGGCTTCAATTTCCCATTCACTCGGTAATGGTTTTGAGCAACCAAATATACCACATGAATCACAACGCGACATAGAACGCGTTACCACTTTGACCCGTGAAAATCGACGCACGAGGCCCACCTAAAAAATAGGCCAAGCTTAGGAAAAAAATTCTAGTTTTATCTAGAATTTTATAACCATTTCCAACAATCCCCCACATGAATGGAATTTGATGACAACGAAAATGCAACAATATGCAGACTTTATCGAAAGAGTATAAGTCGAAAATATCTTGTATCAGGATAGGTAATTTGCATCACAATAACCTTCCAGTACTGTTAGATATCGAGTAAAGTTCAAACCATGATCACGGGTGAATCTCAGATATCTAAGAACTCGAATGATCGCTTTTCCAATGGTCTTCTCCGGGGTTACTAGTGTACCTACTCAATTTACTGATAGCATAAGCTATATCAGGACGAGTACAATTCATTAGGTACATTAGGCTTCCAATAATTTGGGAGTATTTTAACTGAGACACTGCATCATCTTTATTTTTTGATAAATAAAGATTGACGTCTACAGGTGTTCTAGCTAAATTCATATCATCCTTGATAAATTTATCAAGAATTTTCTCAATATAATGTGATTGAGATAATGCATATCCGTCAGATGTTTTAGTAATTTTCATTCATAATATAACATATGCGACCTCCATATCTTTCATATCAAATCTTTTGTTAAGTATCTGCTTAGTTGATTTGATCATGTTTTGACTGCTTCCAATGATAAGCATGTCATCCACATAAAGACAAACTATGACATATCCTTGGTTAGTGTTTTTAACATAGACGCATTTGTCACATGCATTTATCTTAAACCGATTAGTAAGCATTGCATGATCAAATTTTTCATGCCATTGCTTAGGTGCTTGTTTTAATCCATAAAGGGATTTTACAAGTAGACAAACTTTCTTTTATTGCCCTGATACTACAAACCCTTCGGGTTGCTCTATATAGATCTCTTCATTTAGATCACCGTTTAAGAAATCTATCTTAACATCCATTTGATGTATTTATAAATTAAACAACGCTGCTATAGAAATAAGCATGCGAATGGAAGTTATTCTTGTCACAGGGGAATATGTATCAAAATAGTCCAGACCTTTATTTTGTCTGTAACCTTTAACTACAAGTCTTGCTTTATACTTGTCAATTGAACCATATACTTTCATTTTTCTCTTGAATATCCATTTATATCCAAGAGGGTTTAGAACCTGGTGGAAGATCCATCAATTCTCAAGTGTGATTTTGCATAATGGATTCAATTTCATTATTAATAACCTCTTTCCACAAAGGCGCTTCAGGACCTGTCATTGCTGCTTTACAGCTTTGAGGTTCATTTTCTAACAGGTATGTTAGAAAATCTAGACCATAGGATTTTGATGTTCTCGCTCTCTTACTTCGTCTCGGTTCATAATTAGTTAAATCCTGTTGGTCAAGACCATTACTAGTCTCTTGTGTTTAATTGTCATTAGTCTCTTGACTTTGTGTACAATCATAAGTTCTTTTCTGTGAACTTAATTCATGTGCTTTCTTGTAAGGAAAGACATGTTCAAAAAACACAGCATTCCTTGACTCTATAATAGTGTTCACATTTATATCAGGTATTTCTGATTTATAAGTCAGAAATCGATATGCACTACTATTCTGAGCATAACCAATAAACACACAATCTACTGTTTTTGGTCCAATCTTAGTCTTTTTAAGAACAAGAACTTCAACTTTTGCCAAACACCCCCACACTTTTAAGTATTTATAAGAAGGTGGTCGACCTTTCCACAATTCATAAAGAATGCTTTTGGTTTTCTTGTGGGGTATTCTATTAAGAACATAATTAACAGACAATATTGTTCCCCCCACAAGTTCTGTGGTAAACCTGAACTTAGTAACATGGCATTCATTATTTCTTTTAGGGTTCTATTATTCCTTTCAGCAATTTTGCTATGGAGAATAAGGGGCTGTAGTTTGGTAAATAATGTCATGTTGTGCACAAAATTCATTTAATGGTGCATCATATTCACCACCCCTATCACTTCTAATTAAAACAAAATATAACATCTATCACTTGTTGTCTATAATGCGCTTGATTCATAAATTTCAAATCATGATTCATAAATTTCAAATGAAAAATCCAAAATAATTAGGACTACACAAATTAGAATTAATATTTTGACAAAATCATATCCTCATAAAAATTTTGTCTAAGAATCAAATAATTCAAAAAATCCATTTGATTGTATACATTCTTGCAACTCAATTACGAAAAAGTGTCACAGTTATAAAAAATATTTGTGACAGAAGAAAATTAAATTATCTCAACTAATGCAAGAGATACACCCCCATATTAATAGAATGGTTTATGGTTTAACAAATTCTACTACGCAAGTAAAATAACTATTAACAACATCTCATGTCACATAATTTAAAATAAAAGATTTCTTAAATTTATTTCCCAATTAAATGGAACGATATAACTACATACATCTTTTCACAAAGGATTGAAAATTAAGTGGTCTACAAAGTTACATGATTGATTAACAAATTTAATTTACTAAAACCAAAAAATAAATTATAAAACAAAATAATTTTATTTTCTATGTTACTAAAACTAGAAAATAATAAAATATCACAATAATTTTCTGTAACACAAATTAATATTCTGCAATTGTTAATGGCACCAGTATATTACTACTAGTTGTGAAAGAAAAGAGACAGTAGATTACTACTATCTGTCAAATAACATAAACCACTATTTGTTTTTCCAACCAGAATATGTCTTTACGAAATCAGAAAATTAAATACAATGAAGATACCAAAAAATGGATCTGTCTTAAGATTCTAGGACAATCTTCACAGTATTTAAATAAATTAAATTCTGTTGTGTACTAAACAATAACCAGAATATAAAGAAATAAAGGAAATGAGAGAATATGTTTGATTACAAAAATCAAACTCGAAATAAAAAAAATAAAAATAAAAACAGATTTTATTTTGTTACAAAATCAAAATTAAAATCTGATTTAAATAAATAACAATAACACTGAAAATAAATTAAATAACTTACTTGATTTAATTTGTTCGAATTATAATTTGATCAAGTCTAGTGTTTGACACTGTGTCCTTAACACAGATTCGTCATCTCCGCGGTGCTTTCAGAATTTGGACGTCTATCTCTCAAGATGAAATGATCTACTACAAACAATAGCAGCACTATAAATTGTTTGCCTTACGAACACACTAAGTGTTTACACTCTTTCTTTCTTTCAGAAATTAAATGCAGCAAAATGCAGAGATTTATAGCAGAGGATGGAGTATGAAAATTTTGATTAAAATCTAAATAGGAGGCTAGTCTATTTATAGATGTAAAGGTGGCTGCTGGTTTTGAATTGAACAGGTATGAAACCTGTTGGTTTTAAATTCAAACAGATTTGAATTTGTTGGGTTCATAATTTAAACAGATACAAAAATGGGAAGGGTCATGTTTGGATGTAGGCTAAAAACCATACTAATTTATTACGGGAAGGGCCCTGTTTGGATGTATCTTAAAAACCAAACCAGTTTATTTCCGGTTTAATTTTATACAAAATAAAATAAAATTCAAATATTTTTGGCCCAAAAAGATTAGTATTGGGCCGAACAAGCCCAAC